CTGATTATTAAAAACAACAGAATGTCGTATTGTGCCCATTTTTTCCCCCATTTCTTTGGCCAGGAGGTCCCAGAGCCAGTGAAATACTTTGTGACCCGGTGGAGTAGAGACAGGTGGTCTCAGATGTCATACAGCTTTGTGAAGACTGGTGGCAGTGGGGAGGCCTATGACATAATCGCTGAAGACGTACAAGGAAAATTGTTCTTTGCTGGCGAGGTGAGAATCCAGCCATTTCATTTGTCTCCCCAATCTATTGCTACAGGACACAAACTCAAAAAATGTTGCTTGCTAGGAATACAGATCTAGGACAGGGCTGCCCCATGTAATCTCATTCATTGTGATCAGAAAAGCACAACTGATCCTGAAACAGTATCCCTACCCTTGTATTACTTTATGAATAGGGGCACAGGTATTCACAGAGTATCTTTGAGAGTGCATTTTTTAAAATGGATTTCTTTCTGTTTCTAGGCAACAAACAGGCACTTTCCTCAGACTGTAACAGGGGCCTACTTGAGTGGCGTCCGAGAAGCGAGTAAAATCGCAGCTTTGTAACTCTGTCACTGTGAGCTGGGAGTCTAAAAATACAAGCATGAAGACACGTTGAAGAGCGATAGTTTTCTTAATAAGTGTCAATCACTACTCTTTTAAGTGGTGTTTTCCAGCAGTTTGTGTACTTTTTGCATGTAAGATTACCTTTGCTTTTTCAAATACTGCGCTGTTATGGTTCTGTTTTTGTTCAGTTCAATATGACCCACATACTGTTTAGTTGAGGATCACTATATTAAGAAATTAAGGACTTGCAGCAGATGTGCCTGAACAATTAATTTTGAAGGACAATTGGACAAAATGTTGCATATGGATATTTGCCATTTTCCTTAATATTTATAAAATGAGGTTTATAACAATGTTGTGCACACATTATGAAGTGATTTTACAGTTTCTATGTGTATTTACAATGCACAGTTAGCTTTCAAAGTAATAATGGTCTATGCTTAATTAATTTAAACAAAATGTGTACATTTTGCATTAGCACTTTTCTTGTTTAATAATGTTGAATGATTTCGTTATAATTAATGTTTCAGGGAATAACTTGGCCTGAATATTTACCTTTGTTAAAATACTAAATACCGTAAGTCTTTAACCCGTGGCAGGTTCGTGTTAAGACCGTTGGTATCGTCGGTACTTAAATTGTATTTGCAAAACGTTGGGAAAATGTCATACTAAGTAATTGAGCTTTAAGGATTAAGCTACAACAAGATTGCAACAGCAACCTAAATCTTTTTTCCTTTATGTCATGTTCATCATGTTCTGTTTGAATGTCAACGTTGAATGAACGCGTACTAAATAAATAAACCCATCGGCCTACAAACAAAAGATTACAAAACCTCAATGATTTTCTAATCAGCTGTATGTGAACCTTTATACTGCAAACGCGGTTAGACCATATAAAATACGTCATCAGAAAGCGACACCGCGCCTTCTAGCAATTGTAAACATAAGATATACATCTTTCTTAAAGAAGGCAGTTGACAGGTCGACCTTTTGACGTTTGTTGTTATTGGTTAGCTACACTTTCATAAGACAATTTAGCCTATAATTACACGACAAGATAAGCATGTGTTATTCCAGGATGTATCTAGCTACCTCATAAAATTATACTTTGACTTGTGCAAAAATGGCAGCCATGGTGGCGATACCCACAGGTAAATAACGTATGCATCTCTAACCTAGCTTTCTAATTGAATATAATAGCTGATAGCGGTTTCATTATATTTGTTTACATTGATTTAACGTGTTTTTCTAGCTGTCCCATCAGGATCCTTAAATGACCTTTCCTCGGATGATGAACCATTGATTGCATTATTAAAGAAGTCCCAGACCAATAATGAACCGGATGAGACGCGGGATACAAAAGAGCTGAACCTCAAGTCAAAGACTATCACTAAAGAAGATTCTGGTAGGATAAACAATACAACACCTTGATGTAAAAACCTTTAAACCAATTAAAAAATATAGCCTGTTTCTCATATGTTGGTATTTATTATGTGTGTGAAGGGCTGGACGATACCTCAGATGATGAACCCTTGACAAAGTTGTTGAGTAAACTTAAAAAAAACACCGCAAAGCGCCCGGAGAATACTAATCCCCGAAGAGGAACTGGTATGGGCAGAGAGAAGACAAAAAACACGATCGCAGGTGAAACGCCTTCTATGCCCTTTTCATTTACAACACACACACACACAAAATTATTCAGAATAGAAAGACATATCAACTTGTTTGGTCTATGTTGTAATTATAGTTTCAACTCAAGACGAGGATTCCTATAACAGCTCAGACGATGAACCCTTGATAAAAATGATGAAAAGACTCCCTAAACAAACATCATTGCCATTTAAAAAGAGACCCTTCAACACAGGCAGAGAGCTGAACGATTTGAGTAAAGTCAGAAAAACAAAAACTAATAACATATGCACAGGTGAGAAGATTCTCAATTCTAGTATTAATAAATGTAATTGACATGAATAAATGACATTCCCAACACAGGGAGTACACCTTCGCTTCATTGTGTACATGTTCTTCTGTGTAACTAGACTCACCGTCAAGCGACAGCTCGAATGATTTGCCCCTAAGCAAGATGGTTGATAAGATGAAGAAACAGGCAGGAAAAAAGAAACTCACTACAACCAGAGGAACTCCTGACATTATAAAGACCAGTAAGGTTCCCATTAAACGCAACCGGAGGATCGGTAAGAATATCTAGTTTCTAATTTCTGTATGGTTTCGCTGGCAATATTCCGTGTGGATTCTATCTCAGTATGCTTGTTTTCTGGTTGCATGTGATTAGGGTGCTCAGATGACAGCTCAGATAATGAGCCGTTAAATAATCTGAGCAGGACGTCCCGGTTGGAAGCGAATGTAAGAACAACACGAAAGCAGTGTGTCACTAAGGGATCCAACGGCAACTGCTTAAGGAAAAACAAAAGAACGAGAGGTACTATGTTTTGAAAAGCACATTTGTCGCTAGGTTCTGTCTAGGTTATCGAAACTTTAATGCTGTACCTTCATCCTGTTTAAATTTGCAGAGGAGGAGACGACTTCTGATGACGAGCCCTTGATACGATTCTTTAAAAAGCCTGTTAATGCTGTTAAGAAGACCATGGCATCAGCAAAGAAGAGGAGTGTGTCAGGAAAGACAGTGGTATCCAGAAAGATGACCAAACCAGCCATTAGGCACAAAGCAGTCAACAGACGATGTAACAAAGTTGTTCAAAGCACGAGTGAAGGTGAACATGCATTGATTTCAACAGCATATAAAAAGCACTATATAATAGGTTATGTTGAGTATTATGCAAAAATTGGCGATTTTTTATTGCTTCTTCAGGTGACAGCTCAGATAATGAGCTATTGAATATGATGAGGGTGGAACATCCACCTATGAAGAACCTGATGGTTATTCTGGAAAGATGTGACACTAGACAAGTCTTGGAAGATAACTGCGGAGCCACTGTGGAAAACGCATGTGAAAGTAGAGAAGGTGAGACGTCATTTTGATATATGTTCCCCTTTGGAATAGATTATTGATTGGGCCCCCGATTAGTGCAGGGGTCACTGCCTCGCTGTTCAGCTACAACATTGTTGCCAGATGTTTGAATCCTGGTTATTGCATGCCTTGGAGGCCCAGGGTGGGCAGGTTGTTGTCTGTGTGGGCACCAGCAAGGGCACTCGGGGTTGTTGGCTAAGGTTTGTGTTCTCCCCAGCCTTCCGCATGTGGTAGCAGTGGGATAAGGATCCAGGTGGCTTGTTGAGATGTGCATAGGGGGAATTTTCTTGATCTTCAACTTGCATGAACCTGCTGTAGAGTTGTTTGTGATGGGACAAGGCCATAGTCATGAATTTAACATTACGAAATTGCAGTGAAATAAGGGTAAAACATTTTTTTATATAATCACCGGGGATTTCCTTGGTTTATCACGCTCTAGTGGCTCCCTGCGGTGGCTTGGACAGTAAGACAGTAATCCACACCACAGGACCCCCTTCCCCTCAGGGACTGTTGTGATTAGGACCAAACCGCTGGCTGTAATAATGCAGTTGTATCATTTAGGGGCCTCGATCTCTTATCCATTATTATGTAGTTCTGATATTCATGCTGTTTATTTATTCGCCAGAAGTAGATGAGAATTCCAGTGGCGAGCTGTTGATAAATGTTGTGGCAAAGCCCCCTTCATCACCGAAAACTTTGGAAGACACAAAAACTCAGTCACAAGACTGTTGGGACGAAGAACCTTTGATGAAGATGGTTGGAAACGTAAAGTCATGATTATAATCTTTTATAGATACAGACAGTATGTACAGTACTAGGACAGAATACATTGACCACCAACTTTTGTAAATGATTCATGATTCAATATTTTGTGGGGAACTGCTTTTATTTTGTGCATGAGGTTACTGTCATTATTGTGGAAATGGAATTGTCTTAATATTTAGTGATCTGGGATCACTATTTTAATGTTTTATTTTTTAATGTTTTATTTTTTACTGTTTTATATTTTAATAACTTGTATTGATGTTTTTAACAATAAAAAGTAGTGGTTCCATTTGTAGCATATTTATGGACAAATTACTCCGAAAAGGCCTTATCATTTGTTATTGTTGCCAATTATGGTTTCCAGCATTAGGATCTTTCTGTGATTATATTGTGTATTATGGGCCCTGTAGCTATTAGTTTTTATTCAAACACATCATCAATTAGGAAGCAGTATTTATTCTAAAGTAAAAGTGTAGTTGTGTTTTCAGTCCAATGCTGTAATGTCTTGCCCTTCAGAAGTGTTAAAAAGATAATTTACAAATTATTCATGAAATGTTTACAATGTCTTTATTAAAAGTACCCACATTTCCCATTTGTCTTGTTTTAATAAACAGTAGGCTCATGCTACAGAGTACAGACCATTAACAGACATGATGAACATATGTTTTTTAAACTGGGGAGAAACTGCGACCTGGGTAGAAGCTGGGGATTGAACCCAGGACATCATACATACAAAGCATGCACTCTACCACTGAGCAACACAAACTCCTCTATGCACTCTACCACTGAGCTATACCAACTCATACATGCACTTTACCACTGAGCTACACCAACTCCTCCATGCACTCTACCACTGAGCTACACCAACTCCTCCATGCACTCTACCACTGAGCTATACCAACTCATACATGCACTTTACCACTGAGCTACGCCAACTCCTCCATGCACTCTACCACTGAGCTACACCAACTCCTCTATGCACTCTACCACTGAGCTACACCAACTCCTCCATGCACTTTACCACTGAGCTACACCAACTCCTCCATGCACTCTACCACTGAGCTACACCAACTCCTCTATGCACTCTACCACTGAGCTACACCAACTCCTCCATGCACTTTACCACTGAGCTACCTACTCCAAATGTACTCAAAGTAACTGTGATGGCAAATAAATAGGCTGGGAAGACTTCACATTATCTAGTGAGGAAATGAGCATTTGATGACTTAATAAAGTGTTGAATTACCCAATATATTTTTATTTGACTCATAATGAGCAGTTATTTAAAAAACAGATTCTCTTGGATTCTAGTTAATTTTTCTGACATGTAAAATAAAAAAGGGATGCAGTGAATCTGAATTGTATTATTCCATTTGATATGATGATAGGCAACTTTAAATTACTTAACAATAAATATAGCTTGACCGCCTACATTGGCATAAATGAACAGATGTATAATGTCCTGGAACTTTAAAATCTGTAAAGTATAGCAAACGCTATAATAATAAAAGTTGGTGCAACAATACATCAATGTGTTAATACCTAAAAATGTGACAGTAAATTATACAACATTGACATCTACTGGTAAAATGAATAATTACACAAATCTAATGTGAACTATTATTTACGTTATTGGTGTGGTACTTTATTTAGCTTCTAAAACACACACATTACTTTTACGAAATGTTGGACAGTCAATAAGGAAAATGTGAAACTAGCTCACATGAGCACTAGAAAATGAAGATCCAGTTACACCTGCTGCAAAGGATATATTTATTAGATATACCTTACCAGCCTTAGAAATCGGCAATTAACTCTACCTTAGATTGTTTCCAATATAAACACTTTACAGAAGTTAAGTGGAAGTCCAAGGAGAAGAGTGATGATGGGGCATACAATGACCTGTCCTCCACAGTTACCAGACCTCAATCAAACTGATATGGTTTGGACTGAATTAGGCCGCTGGTTAAAACTTCAAAGAATTCCAAGATTGTGTTAAACCGTCATTGAGGCAAAAGTTAGCTACTAAAAAAATCAACAATATGATACTTATTTTGCTATAACACATGGTTTTGGTTACAACGTTCCATCATAGTAATAGAAAAAATAGAAATACCCAATAATGAATGTGTCCAAACTTTTGGCAGATACAATATATATGGAGAATAGGGGTCAAGAAAAAAACACTCATCATAATACAGTGATAATCCCTGCAACATCATAGATTGCAAGACTTTGTTTCCAATAACGTGGCCTCAGCCCTTCTGTGCTTCTGCAGTGTGACCTGCAGCTGCCAGTATCTAAGATAGACCCACATCAGACTACCATTCTTGCGCTTGTCCATGTTCATGTACTGTGCACATTTGCGGTCATTACTAAAGATGTCCTTTAAGCCCCTCTCTATGTCCAGCCGGGCGAGAGACTGTTCCTGGACAGCTCTGACCAGTAAACCTGTCTCGATTTCCAGCCTCTTCTCCCGAGGAACCAGAACACTGCAGAAAGCCTCCTGCCTCTTCAACAAACCCTCCTCTACCTCCCTGAGAGCAGCCATTGCACCCTCGTACCACTCGCTTTCACTCTCTTTCTCCAGAGCATTGTGGAAAAGGGCCCCAGTGGCCCCTACCTGCATTTCCCTTCGTTTCTCCCCAGTCAAGGCCTCACGCTCCTGGCTAAGCCTCCTGCGTTCCTCCATCAGCTGCTGGCTCTGTAAGGCCATGGCTTGGCGGCAGCCTTCTGCATGTTTCTTCTGCTTCTCCAGCTCGAGCTCTAAGTGGATTGTCTCCCGTCGGTTCTCTGTCAGCGTCTCCTTGTACTTCCTCTCTATATCATCGCGTATGGCTTGCATGCTCTTATCATACTTATTTTTCACCTCTAACACTTCCCTTTGTGACTCCCTGGACCAAATCCATCCTGAAAGAGATACATTATCACGTTACGTGTCTGTCCTGCAGGAGCATAATGACAGCATGTGTTCAGATGTTATATTATGTCTGTCATGCATATAATTTTAGAAAATTATGCATTTAGTGGTACAGTTGTCTCTGTAATAATTGGGACCATCAACGTTCTTATACATTAGTTTGACTCTATCATTCAACTTTTGGGATTTTAGAATTAAACATTACTACAAGTTTTAGTGTAGTTTCTTTGTTTAGCAAAATAATCTAAGAGTTTGCAAAAGATCTGTTCTCTCACAGCAAGCAAGGCAGTTAACCAACAAATAAATTACCACAATTACAGGTCAAGCCAATTATCCAGGTTCTTTGGTGCCCTGAAGATTTTTAAGACTTTAAGTGTTGTCATTTCTAACTGGTGAAACAAATAAATATGCACATCTGTACAGTAACCTCATTGTAAATATTTGATTTCCAATCCAAAAGATTTGGAGTAAACCATAAAAACTGCATTGATTCACAATGATGCATATCTGCAGACTGAGCCCAGTGGCAATTTAATTAAAAAAGTGGATGTTTTGGTCAAGGCACTTAAAACACTATCCATATAATTACTAACGGAAGGCAGCTAGTCCAACTATGGGCACCAGTAGGGCATAGTTCCACTTGTTCCCGTCGCCAACGCCACCATTCACTCCCAGATCTGGTCTGATGTTCCATTCCTGAGGGTCATTCAGGTTGTTCATCTAGCCTGCAATGGAAGTAGCATTGGTTCAAATAATTACAACAGCAATCCATTGGAGTCACAAGAAGACTAAGTAATCATGATCTCTGTCTGTCACATAAACAGATATCAAATATGTCTCGTTTCATTCGTTTTAATTAAAACCAGGTTATTTGGACCTGATACACAAAACGTGCAATCACATTTAAAACACCTGAATCGAATAACCTTTTTGAAACTTCTCCAAGAATGCCTCTTCAAATCGAAAGACAGTCGTTTTTTCCGGATGAACACTACGTAATTTCTTACGTAGACTTCCACTGTGGGTAGGTAAGATATTGTCAGTATAGTGACCTAAAGACAATTCTAATGTTAAAAAATATATACAACAACAACTGTTTTACTAGTTGATATGAATCCAATTGATGGTTTCATTCATATGTACGTCCTTAATGAATGCTATTAAATTACCTTTTGACGGTTACCCCTCTCATGAAATGGTACGCTCCGGAACCGTGACGTAAGACGCGTGGATGAGGTTTGATAACGCATTTTTTCAAGACGAATCCAGCGCCAGTCGTCATCATGGCTGCGGTGTGTATTGCCTCCCGTGTCCTGACCAAAAAGGTCCTGTCATCTAAAGCGGTGAGCAATGGCAGAAAATCAAATGAGTATTAACTACAGGTTCAATGAATGTCTCCAAATGCATCGTTGAGTGTCGCATAATAATATACATAACCAACCCTGTGTTTGCTAACGTCATGGTATAGGACTGTCATAGTTAGCTTGCTAGCGTGCGGTCTAGCTACATAATGTTTATACTATTATTTAGTTCAGAGGGAGCTGGTTGCATTCCTGTCACAGTTTTAGGGGGGGTTTGTGTACATTCTCACAACTAGGTCTGTAGAAATGTTATATTTCCACTGAATTGTCATAATCAGGGTTAGGGACCTTCGCAGTACGCAAATATCAGCACATTGAAGGTCACACTAAGGAAGTTGGATAACAAAACAGGTCTTGGCACTGCACAGTTAGCTAAGCAAAAACGAGACCAGCTCTGTTGTTGGTTGAATCTGGTAGGGTTTGTTTTCCGTCATTGAGTTGTTAATGTTAGTTAATGCATTATATGAAGGTGTACGACTATGGCTAATTTGTAGCGCGCAATAGTTAGCCATCTCCAGTTGGGACACCATTTGTTGTGATGAATTTTTTTGTGAGAATAAACAACGTAAACTTTAGCAAACCATCTATTTCAAGTTTTCGAGTCCGCAGAAGTTCAGAATCACTATATTTGTCATTTATAACAGCTGGCTTGGTTTTGGTGCATCAGAAAACCTTAAAGAAACTGCAGCTTCTGCTTTACACACGTTAGAGGCCCATAGCAAGGCATGCATTGACCTAAAACAAGAACGTGTCATTTTTTTTGGATTGATTTTGTTTTTCCATTCAAGCCTTATGGTATTTGAATCAGTTGTTATGATTTATACCTGTATATTTATTTCCCTATTTAGCTACCTGCAGTATCCCTGAGCTCAAGGAAGCTCCACTTCTCTGTTTATGGAAGAAGTAATGCTCAAGTGTCAGATGGTGTAAGTTTGCATATTTTTGGAACACTAAGATGTGCGCTAACTGAGTTAATGAATAAATACAATAGTCACTCCTTCTGTATATTGGTGCTAATAATATTTTATATAGTTTATAACATAAGCTAAAATGGTACTAACAGATTTTATTTCATTTTTTACCTTTGCTGGTCCCTACAGATCTCCACACAGTACCCAGTGGTAGACCATGAGTTTGATGCAGTGGTTGTGGGTGCTGGTGGGGCAGGACTTCGTGCTGCTTTTGGCCTGTCCGAGGCTGGCTTCAACACAGCCTGTGTGACTAAGCTTTTTCCCACCAGGTCCCATACAGTGGCTGCACAGGTAGTTCAAGTCTCCTTGTTGAGGTTTTTATGTTAGCAGTGTTCTTAGGATCGTACTATCCACTTCAATGTGTTCTTGTGGTATTTCGGCAGCCTTTTCAAGTGATTTGTACATAAATAAGTCCAAAGTTCAAAGTTATCATGTACTTTGAAACCGGCCTCGACCCAGTCTCTATGGCTGAGGAAGCACTGATTAATGTATTGTCAATTTCGGTGCATATTAA